GTTCCTGAGCTGGTTGAGCTGGTCTGTCAGTAGCTTTGCCCAGCGCCCAGGTGCTCTGAATTGGATCTGCAGTCTTTCCTCAGCCTGGGCTCCACTCTCTGAGCTTAGCCATTTCCCTTCACTGCCAGGGCTTTAATGATGGACAAAGCAGCTCCTGCAGCCCTCCAAACTTCCAGGCACCTGAGTTCTCCTGGGGGGGGGGGTTGAATTCTCTTATCGGAACTCCCCAATCGCTGATTCTTCCTCAGTTATCTTTCTTCTAGTGAGTCCAGGGTGTTCTCATTTGGGTTGAAAGTCCTAGTATGTAAGTCTATATTCTGTTTTCAGTCCTAAATTCCTGCATAAGCCTGGGTGCAGTGACCTCAGCATCTTTATTCTGCCACCATCTTCAATCTCTCAAAGACACTTCTTAAAGAGGAAATGCAAATGACTAACAGGCATATGAAAAAAATGTTGAACATCACTAGTAGTAAGGTAAATGTAAATAAAAACCATAATGAGATACCACCTCACACCAGTTAAGAATAGCACATATTAAAACACTAACAACAGCAAATGTTGGTGAGGATGTGGGGGAAAGGAAAGGAAACTCTCCTACGCTGCTGGTGGAAATGCATACTGATCTAACCACTATGAAAAGCTGTGATAAGGTTCCTCAAACTTCTATAAATTGAGCTTCCACACAATGCAGATATTCCACACCTAGGTATCTACCCAAAGGACAGAAAACATTAATTTAAAGAACACCTGCATGGTATGTTTATTGTGGCACTATTTACTATAGGTTATCTATGAAAACAATCCTGATGCCCAGAAATAGATGACTGGATCAAGAAGATGTGATACAAACACACAGTGAAATATTACTCAGCAAGTACAAAAGATAAGTGCATACTGTTTACAGCAACATGAATGAAGTTGAAAGGATCATGCTCAGTGAAATAAGCCAGAAAGAAAAAGATAAATACTAGATGGTTTCACTCAATTAAAGGCTCTGGAAAAAAAAGAAATATTTATTATAAAGTAAATATCAAAATTAACAAAAACTATAAGCCAGAGACAATGCAGTGGTGGTAGCAGGAGGATAGGATCAAAACTGGCATGGGAAGAGCACAAAAGGCTATGGTAATGATATATGGGTGAATTGGTGAGGGGAATATAACAGAGATGGAAAAGAAATATATTTTATAAAAATGAAAATGATGTAAAAATATAAAATAAGAAAATTATAAAAAAAAGAACAGACAGCTTTCAGTATCCTTTCTTACTATTATGTAATCTTGATAACAATGCAGAAGTAATTAATCTTTATATTATTGACTATATAACAATGTTCACAAAACTTAAACTACATTTTCATTATTACACAATGTCAAGTTCCAGTTTGCCATTAAAAATCCATACATTCTTTTAATGTGATAAAAAAAAAAGGCAAATATTTCCTGTAGAAATAGGATCTCAGGTCTGATGAACTATTAGTAATCTCTTCAAGTCTTTCCTCTAATTGATAACAACCCTCAATTTTTTTAAAATATTTTTTATTTATGCATACAAGAATCAAGGTACAGGCCAGAGGTGTGGGGTTGAGAGGATTCACCACAGACAGAATGGGGAGCAGACTACTGAAACACACTGCTGAGAAGAGCAGTGGGCAAGACAATAGAGTTCTGCTGTGCTATGTGGGTCACCTCTCTGGCAAGGTGATAGAATTTGTGGTTCAGTGACTCTAGATAGCTTCATAGTGCTGCACTTTAACCCCTTGTACCACCAGGGAGTCTCTGATAACAAAAGGGACTTAAAAGTCTCTGCTTGTATGGTTTTCCTATTTGGAATTTTCACTATTGCAACCAGGCAATCTTCCCCCTTTATAGAAATCTCACTGCTTTAAGTTTTTCTTGAGATCCACCTTGGAAAATAATTTCAAACCTTCCTATCTGTGACAACCTGTAGCAACATATTAAATCTTTTAAATATGACATGCTCATCCCCCAACACTTTTTTAACTTTCCTATTGGAAACCCTCCAGACTTTTTCTATCTAGATTCTTATAGATAGGTTCAACTTGCTGCATTTTACATGGATAATAATTGTTTTTAACAAATAGAAGAGGGTTGATAATCAACACCAAGAGCTATAGCCCCCTTTCTCACCTGTGCCATAGTATTTCTGTAAATATGTAAGAATATTGTGCTATGATCTGATATGTCCTCTCAAAATCCATATATCAAATTCTAACCCTAAAGTGACGGTATTGTGAGGGTCTGTGATAGTTGCTTAGGGAGGGTATGATGATGGATGTTTCATGAATGAGATTAATGTTCTTATAAAGTTGATTCCATTGTAGCTTACCTATATTTCAGGACAGATGTATCAAAAATGTTAATATCATTAAACTATTTTAATGGGAGTAAAGAGACTCCAGCCATAATGCTAAGGCACAGTGAAAGGCACTATCTGTGGACCAGGAAGAGGAACTTCACCAGAATGCAATCAGGCTAGCATCTTGCTCTTGAACTTCCTATTCTCCAAAACTGTGAGAAATCATTTTCTATTGTTTATAAGCTACCTAACTTTGTGGTATTTTCTTATAACAATTTAGCTGGACTAAGACAATTGTGTCACTTGTTTTTATTGTTGTTGTGTGCCACCTATAACACTACACTGTTGACTGATAGTAACCTTGAAGTCACATAAAATCCCTTATTTCTTTTTCTCTTGGATAATTAACATTTGAACTGAAGGACAATATTTTATATTTTCCCCACATTTTTACTCTCAATCATTTTTGGACTCTTTAATTCCTTTAGTCTTTTATAACTCCACTCCACAACTTGGGTTCATCTGCAGTTTTGATCATCCACACTTTCAATGAATTAATTCAGATGGCCATCTATTATAGATAATGATATGGAAAAAATAGAAACATGGGTTTCACCACTAAATAGCTACTCTTCATCTTTATGAAGCTTCATCAATTGCAAACACTTTCACATTGTTTCATTTTATTCTTACAGCTATGCTGTGAATAAAACAATATCATCGTTATTCTACATGTGATGACAAATATTCTGAAAGATTCTCTGGCTTGCCTGATATGACACAGATATTAAATCACAAAATGGGAAATTACCTTTGGAATTTTGCTTCTGTATCCAGTGCTCTTTCAAAGATATATTAACATATTTTTCTTCCCTCATCATAAATATCAACAGAGATTACTTAAAATCAAGAAACATTCTCTACAAACAAATGTCACCTAAAAACACATTATATAAAGAGGACTTAAGGGCAGGTCAATATGATAGAAGTGTTATGGATGGTACTTAGCCTCTGTTCCTTTGTCCCACTGAGGCCTCCTCCCAATTCTGTGTTAGATAGTAATGTGATACTAATTATAGCCCTCAGTGTTCTTTGGGAATACATTTGTCAATGATATGCCTCAAACTGTAATCTTCCTTAGCAATAATTTTTAAATCAAGCTATCTTTTCATGCCTTGTTTTTATAGTCACCTCTAGAATTTTGTGGGAGATTACCCATTTGAGAGGTTTAATAATCTTTTATTTAGGTCAGAATTGTTTTATACTTTGAAGCCCAGTTTTCTTTATGTAATTCAAATCTTCATTTCACAGATGAAGTAACAGCAACCTACACAGGAACAAAGACAAGAATCCAGACCTGGACTCTCCTAGGTAGGTAAATTTTTCTGAATATATCATGCTATCTTGCTTTTAGATCTGACTCTTTTAATGATGACATCTCTAACATGATGAAGTTTCTGGTTCTTTCTTGAGCAACTAATAGATGCTCATTATTTACTTAATATTATAATGATATTTAAGACAATGATAAATAAATTGTGACAGCTGTAGTAATGATACTTTCAAACAATTGTTCTTAGCTAGTAGTCACTACAGGCTTTTTATTTTATTTTTTTAAAGATTTTATTTATGCATACAAGAACTGGGATATAGGCCAGAGATGTGGGGGTAAGAGGATTCACCAGAGAGAAAGTGGGGGGCAGAACAGGCAGATGAACTTAAATATACTGCTGAGGGGAGCAGCAGACAAGACAGAAGAGGTCTGCTATATCATGTGGGTCACCTCCCTAGCCAGGGACTGAGCTTTTGCTACAGTGGCTTCAGAGAGCTTCATAGTGCTGTACCTTAACCTCTTGTGCCACCAGGGAGCCCTGACATTAAAGGCTCTTTTGAAATGTATGCAGGAAAATATTTACATTTGCAAACATTTCAAGGGGTTCAGAGATACATACTACATACAAAGTTCTTAGCCACTAAGTTAAGAACCTCTGGCTATTCCCAGTGTTAATACCAGGCTTGTGTTGTGCCTGTCACTATCTTATTTATGGCCCTTATGGTTAAAAGCTGCTTCTATATGGCATCCTTCACCTATCATTTAAATAGAGCAGCATCTTATCCTGGAAGACCTTTGATACAAGAGAAGAGTAAATGTTTTAAATAAGTATTTAACTAACTCACCAGCTGGTATAAATTAAGAGAGAAATGTAATAAAATAAAAAATATAAATGTCTTTCAAAAATGTTAACAATGAAAGTGAGGATGATCAATGTTCATAAAATAACATTTCCCTGTGCTTTTTTTTTAATTTTTAAGAAAGAAAAGCAAAAAAAGTGGTTTTTTTTAAATATTTAAGAAAGAACATGAAAGAAAACTAGAATGCTACTAGCTGCTGTCCACTTATAGTGAATCTATGGTAAGCATAGACAAAAGAAATAGATATTTCTTCTGAATGGTTATTTCTTAATCCTTCCCTTTTACTGTAGTGTCTTAAGAAACAGTTGGCAAAAATAATAATTAAAAATTTAATTATTAATTTAATAATTTTAAAGTAGTCTAGGAAACATCAATATTACTTTAAGGTTATTAATAACAAGTGTTGATTTTACTAATTCAAAATATATTTGTTATGGAACACTAATACAGAGGGCAATATGGAGTCATAGACAGATGACTTTTGAGTAAGAGAGTAATAGGGTTGAATTCCTGTATTGTTTCTGACAATAAATGAGGTAAATAAACTTAAATGAACCTCAGTTGCTTCATCTTTAAAGTGAGGTTATATAATTTTATCTCCTTTATTGCAGCCAAACTAGAACTAAATAAACTGTTTAAATAATAATCTCTGTAAAATAAGCTTCTAATTTAATGAAGTTCACATGTTCTGCTTTAAGAATTATCTTGTCTTATTCTCCACTGATATTCATAGCTTTATCACTGATTTAATGGGACACTAAAATAACAATTAACACTCACTTAACCCTTCCTATATATTATTCTTCATTGAGAGCTCATCAAAATAAAGTTTTACTGTCAGAAAAATTAATCAAAATGGTTGAATTAATTCAGCCAAGGTCAAATATAGATGGGTTGCAGAGCCAAAACTCTTAGCTACTTACTTATACCCTACCTCTTAGCAGGATTCTCACTCAGTTGATGGTCTCTATAAAATTTTGCTCTGGTGGTCAAGAACAAACTTGCAGGACCCCAGATGAGTCGTTGAGCATATCTCCAAGGCAAGACTCTGCTCCTGAGTGAGGAGTTCCTTGCTCCTTATTTAGTAATAATGAACAAGCATGCATGATTATGTGACAATGGCATGAGAAGCAGGGCCCAGGAGAAAATAAGGGTACTCATCTTTGTGTGGAACAGAACTTCAAATGGTTCAAAGGACAATCAAAAAGTGATCAATTTTATGGGGAACAGGGGAGGATATTTTGGCTACAAACAGGGGAGAGAACTTCCTGAGAGTGTATGGTTATAACTGCTGAGCTATTACCAGACCATCTCTGACCCTGACCACAACCCTGGCCAGCTTGTGATGGGGGCCATTGTCTTAAGGCAGTCATGTGGGAGTGCTTTATCCATTGTATACACATAGAGGCCATGGCACAGAGGCACAAAAAGGGCAGAAAAGAGGTGGAAAAAGAGGCCACACTTTGGCCTTTGTTTTTAAAAAAGAAATTACTTAAGTTAAACATCTAGTAAGTAAATGCTGCAGTGGTACTTAGTAAATAGTGTTTGTGTTTTCTGAAGAAAAGATTTATTTCCTAGGTCTGCTTTAATAAAGTACCTCAATGGTAGTGCCTTAAAACTAGAGGAATTTGCTCTCTGATAGTTCTAGAGGGCTGAAATCAGGGTAGCTGTAGGAATGTACTTCATTCAAAGCCTTTAAAGGAAAATTCTCCAGCCATTGCCTGTTGACTTCCAGTGTTTCTTGGCTTTTGGCTCCATCTCTGCTTCTGTATTCACATGTGTCTCTTTTATATTCTCTGTGTCTCTTTTCTCAGGACACCTATCACCGAATTTAATAGTAACCTTAGCAATCAGGTGGATCTATTCTAAATATTAGTAACTTAATTATAGCTATAAGCACCCTATCCAATATTGGGTTAGAGTCACAGTCTCCAAGATGTGTCTCTTTGTGGGGAACCACCAATTAACCTACTATGTAAAAATATTTTTGCCTCTTGAGAGAGTTCTTACACTTTTGGCAAAAAAAATTCACAAGCATTTAAAGAGAGAAAAGAATCATCTCACCCAACTTAATCATATAGTTGAATTGACTATTCAATCTGTTAGTTAAAAATATTCTTCTCACTATGTGCAGTTGTGTTAGCCTTCTTCACATTTATTTGAGAGTCAACAAAGTTCTTAAGAAGCTACCTTTTGCTACCCATTTAAAAGAACAACTTGGAGTTTAGTTTTTAAACTCTCCTGACTAGAAACCATGTATAAAAAACATCCATGCACTTGGAGCAGGTCAAAAATAATGAAGCTGAGGGCCCTCCCTGGTGGCGCAGCGGGTTAAAGCACAGCACAAAGAAGCTTAAACCACTTCCACATGAGTTCGATTCCCGCCTGCCCCGGAGGT